GCTTAGAACTTGGACTGGTGGTTGGACCAGTAGGTTTCGAGCTAGGGCCAGTGCTAGGACCGGTTGGCTTAGAACTTGGACTGGTGGTTGGGCCGTTGGTTTAGAACTGGGTCCAGTAGGTTTGGAGCTAGGGCTAGTGCTAGGTCCAGTAGGTTTCGAGCTAGGGCCAGTGCTAGGACCGGTTGGCTTAGAACTTGGACTGGTGGTTGGGCCGGTTGGTTTAGAACTAGGGCCAGTGCTAGGACCGGTTGGCTTAGAACTTGGACTGGTGGTTGGGCCGGTTGGTTTCGAGCTAGGACCAGTGCTAGGACCGGTTGGCTTAGAACTTGGACCAGTTGACTTAGAGCTGGGACCAGTTGGCTTTGAACTTGATTGAACTGAGGGAACAGCACTTCTCGTTTCAGGCTTCAAGGTTGAAGTTGAATGTTTAACAGGCTCTGAACTAAACCGACCAGTACCAGAAGTTTCGCTCGAGATTGTGCCCGGTTGACCATACTTTGAAGTTGAGGTCGAGGTAGTGCCCGGTTGACCGGCAGGATTGGCGCCCGGTTGACCATACGTCGAAGTTGAGGTCAAGTAGTGCCCGGTTGACCGGCAGAATTGGTGCCCGGTTGACCATACGTCGAAGTTGAGGTCGAGATTGTGCCCGGTTGACCATACGTCGAAGTTAAGGTCGAGGTTGTGCCCGGTTGACCGTACTTTGAAGTCGAGGTTGAGGTTGAAACAGAGCTAGGTTGACCGGCAGGATTGGCGCCCGGTTGACCATACGTCGAAGTTGAGGCCGAGGTTGTGCCCGGTTGACCATACGTCGAAGTTAAGGTCGAGGTTGTGCCCGGTTGACCGTACTTTGAAGTCGAGGTTGAAGCAGAGCTAGCCTGACCGGCAGGATTGGTGCCCGGCTGACCATACGTCGAAGTTGAGGCCGAGGTTGTGCCCGGTTGACCACGCGTCGAGGTTGTGGCTGAAGCTGAGCTGGGTTGATTGGGACTGGAGTTTTGAAGAGAGCGTCCAGTATCCAATTCTCGCTTAAATGGTAACCACGAAAGAAAATGATTATGTCGATTGTGGGGTATCTCTGATACTGTTCTGAGGTCGTTCAAATTGAGTTCGGAAAGCTCAATTGGACCCGGAAAACCATTAGCTATGATTGCTAGGACCCAAGCGAGTGATATGATCCGAATATTAACCATAACAAAGTGCAGTATTAGTTATAATTCGTGGCGATACAAAATTAACTTTAACGATAGTAAATTGAATATTTCTATCAAGACTTTCATTAAATCGAAGGTATATAAACAATTTGGAATTAGTGCTGGGGTATGTAGTGCTAGATCTAGAAGGGAAATTAGAAAACCACAAGACTACTCAGTACGATCCTCTATTACAGTGTGATGGCTAAAGAGAAAGCGTAGATATTTCACTTTGTTTTCCAATAAAGCTCGTAAAAATGTTGTCTTCAAACCACCAGAGTGACATTAATAGAATTAATTAATGCCAAGTTGACGACGCAGCCGTCCAAATTACTCATGAAAAAAACATATGCATGATTAGATAAGCAAAAGGATGAACATTTCGGGGATTAGCGTAAAAAGTGAGCTATATTTAAAGAAAGGACCGTTTTTAATGCAGGGTCCCAAATGCAAGGGTAATAAAATACTAGGTAACAAAGTCTGGGGTTCGGAAATGAGGTGTCCTAGTGTTACTGTTCATTCATATAGAAATCTAGAAGAGAGGTGGTGAAAAGTCTTATACATGGGCTAGAACATGTGATATTGTAATGTCTTCTCGGGGGATGAGATGTTTTTAAGCAATTCCCCATTCATAATGTGGGTCTGGACTGTTTATTACGATACGAGGAAAAATGACCAAACCTTTCAAAAGGTAGTTACTAGATTACAAGAATAACATGAACTGCTGTCACAAGATTAATGATGAATCGGGATAGTTTTGTCAATTCTATTTCCCCTCATCTTGATTTGGCTTTTGTCTAATACCTTGATGAAACCTCATCTAGCAAGTTATAAGAAAAACCCACCTGAAATTAGAATTCCTGTACCCCTGAATAATCACTTGACAGATATCGCAGTTGTTACTATACAAAGCCTTACCCAACAAGTCATTTTAAAGGCAACATAAAGAAATTCCTAGAATGTTTTTTAATGGTGCACCAATAACAATCCCCGGGGGTTTTTCTTTTGATTTAGAGAGATTCCTGACTACCATGAAGAGAAATTATTCCAATTTCGATGTTTTCCATCTAAATTGTGCTTCCAACGTTATACTCCGTTGTCTTGAAACCAAACTGTCTTTTAAGTACTTTTTCACAGTATAAAAAATTCATTGACAGCCCTTCAAGTTATTGAACTTGCGGCAGCTTTTGAGTACAATCGTTGCGTAATTTAGTATCCAAATGATTATTTTTTTGAAATCTCAATCAACGCATAGATCAGGAAGTGAAAGCTCAACCTGGTTTGGGTTCTTAATTACTAGAAAGCTTCCACAGCGTGCATCTTGTACAGTGCCATTTGAAAATTATGCTTAAGTATGAGCGATGGTAAATTTTATACTATAAAAACCCCTGTCAGATGGTACAACTGTCAGGGAAGTGGAAATGAAACGGCGTAATTAACTCATTCACCAAATTCTGTTGAAAAACAACCTTTGAGCTAATTATAAAAGATGTCAGTAATTTGTGAGAAAATTACATACTTGACTAATGGGCTCATAATATATGCTAGTCGCAGATAAACATCCCAGGAAGGCAGGGAAACGATCATTTACAAGAATCGCCTATTAATCTGTCACGAGAAGTTCAAATGACAGAGATTCACACTTCTTCCGAACTGCCTAGTAAAATATAAAATCATAAACATGTGGAACTATACACGTTCACTTAAAACTTATGCTTTCATTTTAAACAGTATGTAAGTAAGATGAAAAAACTGGAACTTAGGGCGAAAAATTTATAATTATCTTAGGCAATCGAAAGAAAATTTTAGACTTAATCATAACTTTCTTCAGGGGATAGGACTATGTATATACAGATATAACGTTTGCGAGTTTCCTCAGTGAAAAAAACACTCTCGGAGGCGATTCATTAAGCCAAGGAATCAATAGTAATCACGCAGTAGTGAGCTATATCAGTCCTCCAATGTCAAGCTAATATGCGATTTTTGAACCTCACTTCATTACCACAAAAAATTGACTAAATTGTCATAACTAGACTAAATTACAATTCGGGCGAATTGTCTACTATTTCCATGAAAAAGACATCCTTTCCGCCTCACCTTAGAAAGTAAGGTTTGTTTTACCTCTCAATACGTGTTTTACTAGATTATACTTCGGCATTTTATCATCAAATAAAAACCCGGATAGGCAGTGTATATTGCAATAACTTTTAATGGTGAGATGATTTCACAGAATAACCTGTTTGTAGTATCGCTGCACCGTCCACCGAATTAAGTTTCTTGATATTTCAACGAACGCTCATCATGATTCAACATGCAATCGATTTTTTCTTTTTCTTTTTCCTGCGATGAGTAGACGGTAACCTCGTGTTTGCTGAGGCCAATTGCGATAAATTTGTGGGGCTCTCGTCGAGAATAACGTGACCTTTTAATGCGTGTTTAAAAAAAAAATGTTTACGAAATTCTGTCGAAGCAACGATGATATCAAATAAAATCAAAATTAACTAGAACTGACTGTTTTGCGAGTTTTTATGAAAAGTTTATACTGGACTAGAGCTAATATAGTTACACTGAAAGGGCGCGATTGCAGGGCTGGAATTAAAAAAGGTCACGTGTTTATAAGTTTCAGACATCCCTTTGTAAGTATCAGTCCTCAATATCCCTGCAAAACTTAGAATGTCTAGAAAGAAAAATAAAACAAAAGTCAAGACATCAAATGAACCTTAAATCACTGAAGATACGAAACTATTGTGTCAGGGATAGTGATTTTAAAAAATCTTGCCACTAATGAAATACGATAAATGAAAAGGAATGTATTTTTTGACCTATTTCAATCCCATGCCGACAGCTTTAACTAACTCATTGGGAAATGAATAGATGAGTGCAGAGTTTGCCCCGTTCCAACTTTTAGCAAATTACAGCTTTGAGCACAAAAGCTTACCTAACTATTATCCGAACGGATAGAAAAACTATACAACGTAAAAAGCAGGCTAACGAAGGTTAATGAAATAAAGAACGTCACCCTCCGAAAGGTATTATTTGCACAGTTAGATTGTACTGATGATGTAAAAATCATTGCTCCGAAACATTTAAAAAACGGACTTTGTTAAATTATCCTATGTCCTCAATCAGTTGAAATACTGACGCGACGAGTAACTACAAAAAAGGTTAAGATAATAAAACGCATGTGTGAAAAGTGAAAAATAGTCACTATTTATTCCGATCTATTCAGCTTAATGAATCTTTAAAGCGGATATATGTTAAATTGATAATAATCTAACTATCAAAAGAGGGATGCAATTGAGCTATTCTACCAAGCTATCGAACCTTCAAATATACAAAAGATAAAAACAAGACACTAGAACTGTTGAAAAGTATTCTTCACTGAATTTTTTGAACTGAAGGTATGCTTCGTTGAATTATACCTAAGATTTCATCGTGACTAGATTCAAATTTTGTTTACCATTTCACGTTCAAGATTTTAGATATCAAGTCTTGCACTTATCTATTTTCCACATGAAAACAAATACCGCTGCACGTTATGAAAATTAATGATAGATTTATCCTGGTCATACCAGGTATTTGCTGCAACACCAACTAATTACTGTATGGATTTAACGTTTAAACCATTTGAAGACTACATTCTGTTGGCTTGATAAATATACATTGTCTAAGCGTTATGGTCCAGTAAATCAGGGTGGTATAGCATTTCGAACTTTAAATTCTGAACTATGGAAACCGATTTTTCTAAAAATCACTTCGTATTTAATCACTGCCTTCCTATTTTACTCAAGAATTTGCGAATTCCGTTGTAATTTTCTGTAGAGTTTTTAGTCTCGATCGAAAGTTGTCACCATTTAGTAATAGCCTTTAACAAGATTCAGTAGAAATGTTATCTTAACGATTTATTTTCTTTCAATCATTTCAAAGCGAGTTTAACTAAGAATGGCTCACATAATGAAATGGCTCACATAATGAAATGGCTAACTAAAGTAATTCAATCTCATCTACGCAGGGGTACATAATGGCGATAATTTTTGTTTTGTACATTAGATTCAAAATAAAACATGGCATATATACCGAAGTGCTACTCAATGTAAAGTCCCTTGTAATGAAGAAAGACTGGATAATTAAAAAAAGTATCTAAGAAACAACTTGTATTTCCTAAACATTACAAGAATAAGCTTGTCTGATCATTGATTTGTTTTGAGAAATCCTCTCTATTTAGAGCCTCGACTTAAACATGATTCGAGGACATTGCGAAATGATGGTTGCCTTCTATGACGAAAGCAAAGACAGCAAATAGGACAACTTTTTGCAGAGAAGTAAGGAAGTGTTGGCATATTTAATGGTGGATAAAACGCTCCGAAAAAGGCTTTCTTGTATCAACATCGTTGCATGTACTAGAGATTCAAAGATAAAGTGCATCTCAAGGAACTGAACTTTAATTAGAAAAGCATGTAGAATGTGTCTTCAAAAGATAAGATCTTTTCATAACCAAAACAAATCCTGAAGGGTAACTTTTTGAAGTGTGAGAAATCAATGTTAAAGTGAAGATAGCGATCCTGATGTTAGCTCAACTACGAAGACGAGAAAGTATTTTTTGAATCTTTAAATGTAACCAAAACTTTTTTAATGATCAAGTCCTGGCTGGTAATCATTCGCCGACGTCGAGTGATACTGTGAAATATCCAACTGAGTAAGTTTTTCTCTGCGGATAAACACCTGTGTTTTTGGAGCTCAAAAACTGGTGACTCAGACACCCTATAAGCTCATCTGAAAACAATGCTGGCGTTATAAATATTTTGATCCTCCAAGGCAATTGTTCTCTTTCATGAAATTATCATCATTGAAGGGCAAAAGTAAAAGAACGCATCACTTTTTATAAGGATTTGATTTTTAAATCACATCTTTATGAGTAATTCTTGACTGATTAATGTGGCTAATGAGGCTCACACATACTGCCGATTTTATAAACTCTGACGAAAAGCCAGGGATACCTTAGTATGTAATTCCATTAACAATCAATCCACCTACCCTATTACTTTTTCAACCAAATCAATTGTATGAAATTCTATTTCGAATGATTCCTGTGACATCGAGTGGCATTCAACTGAATCGATTGCTAACTATTCTAGCTTTCCAAAATGACATCTACTTAGAACTATATAATGAAATCAGAGGCCAGCATTATTGCAACAGCTGAAATGAACCAATTGCAGCTTTCTTCAATTTCAACAGTTTTAGCAGCTCCCCAACTTATCTTTCTCACCCTCAAGCGTTTCAAATTGGTGCGCTTTTGGAAGAATGGAAAGTTTTCTAAACTGTTAATCATATAATTTTTAATTAAAGCTGCAATCAAACCGTCTTATGAGATACAACGATACCAAGCTTAGCAGACAAGGCGTAAAATACCTGAGAGTACATTCCTTAAAGCCCTAAAGGCATATCCCTGCTCTAATAATGGTGAATATGTTATCCTAAATTTTGACTATGTAAATTCCAGGATACATATTGCGGGCGGTGGTATTCTTTTAAATTTTGCTTTCTGAAGGCTCCTGTCTACTCTTGCATGAAACAAATTATAGAACTGAATAAATGAAGACGTGGAGTACTGAGTACGTCAGTCGTTGCTATGTACCATTATCATCCATAAATGAAAAGACACAATACTCCCTGGAATCAAATGTGTCATGGTCGGGAGAAATGGGAATGATAAAATACAACAAACGACCTTCAAATTTACTGCAGTCTTTTCTAGAGATAATTCTAAAAAAAAAGGCTGCAAAAGTCTGTCATTTTTTTAGGCGCGAAGCTTCTGACGTCCTCAATAAAAATACCTCTAGTAAGGAATGAAAATAGAAATAAAAATTTGTTGAAATATGTCAGAAGATACTGAAATCTGAAGAAAGGTCTTGGAATTGACATTATACCTCAAACGTTTATCAACCATTGCTTCATGGATCTAGGCTACCACCGAGTCTCTGAATCATATGAACCGTCAACTGAAAATGCTTATAAAACGGCAACTGGAGAGTTAAAACACTCATAACGCTAAATCGTACTCTGCTTGTACGACAATAATTTCTTTGAAGAGCAGTGTTTGTTCGAATTTCAATTTCTTTTCCCTGTCACAAATGTGCCGTCAGGTGTCTATCATCGTTTGATGAAAGAAAAAACAAAAAAAAAGAGGTGGTTCTAGATTTAGTCTATGTACAAAAAACATTATATATATGAGACCCTTCAGATAGTTGAGTCGAAAACATTTTTAGCACTCACTCTAACTTTGACCTTTGTTGATCAGGGGAAAGGTCACGTGTTAGATTGGTGATTTTACTTTCTCATTCATTCTTATTAGTCAAGTATTTCAAACACTAGGTGGGAAACAAATAGAGATGTCGAAAGAAGACGAACAAATTGAAGCGGTGTATAGAGTCATGTTCGCTCAACAGAGTCAGAAGGATTGTTCGCCTTTTTCTAATAATGATTGCAGCTCGATGAAGGAGAAGCTCGCAACAGGAAGTGTGTTTGACCAGGAAGTGAATGCCACAACAACTGACGATGACGGAATCCCATCCTCTTCACATCCCCTGGAGGCTAGAATTTTGCGGAAGATGGATTTGTTTTTGATTCCGCTGATGGCAATGTTATATTTTCTATCGAATTTGGATAAGTCGAATATTGGTAACGCTGCCATTGCAGGTTTGACCGAAGACCTTAATCTCGTGGGCACGGAGTACAATGTGGCTGTCACAGTTTTTTTTGGTACTTATATTCTTTTCGACCCGGTCGGTACAAACATGTTGAAAATAATGGGCCCACCTACAATGATGAGTTTGTGCTTGTTTTCATTCGGTGTGATTTCACTGTGCACCGCTTGGGTCAAGAATTACGGACAATTGATCCTTGTGCGATTATTACTTGGTGTTTTCGAAGGTATGATATATCCTTCGATCAATATGTACTTGTCTCTGTGTTACAGAAGAGATCAATATGCTAAAAGATTCGCATATGTGTTTGCTGCAGCCTGTCTCTCTTCATCATTTGGCGGTCTGATATCCTATGCATGTGCAAAAATTAATGGATCTTTGAAAGCATGGCAATACATTTACATTGTTGAAGGCGCAATTTCTATTGGATTTGTGCCTTTTTATATTTTTGGCTTGAGTAATGATTTGGAAAATTCATGGTTTTTCAATGAAGAAGAGAAAGAGTATATCATTCAAAGATTTAAATCCATGGATACCTCGAATCCTAATGAAAAATTTGAGTGGCATCAGGCGTGGCTTGCCGTCCGGGACATTAAAACATGGGTTAGTGCAGTTGCTCTGTTTGGCATTGATTTAACTACCTTCGGCTTGACCGTGTTTCTGCCTATCATCATCGAAACAATGGGGTTTACAAGTATCAGAGTTCAGCTTATGACTGTGCCTATTTATTTCCTGACAGCCATAGTGTTTTTCATTTGTGCAAGGTTGTCAGATCGTTGGAGGCTAAGAAGCCCCTTTATTATAGGTTCCTGTGTTACGACATGTGTGGGAATTGTGATTGTTTTAGCTTCTCAAGTCAATGGTGTGAGATATTTTGGTGTTTACATATTATGCATGGGAATATATGTTAACGCGGCAACGAATTGTTTGTGGCTAAGTGGAAATATTAGCAATTATTTCAAGCGGGCTACTGCGTTAGGAATAAACTTATTTTTTGGTTCAGGATCAGGTCTTGTTTCTGGACAAATTTTCCTCAATTCTGAAAAACCTCGCTTTATTAAAGGTTTATCCATCTGTTTAGCTTTTCAGATTCTTTCCATAATTATGACGATCATTCAATTCCTGCTTTATAGAAGAGAGAATAAAAAGAAGGAAAAGATAATCGATCATTACCTCGACCTCAATGAACCAATTCCATTCGATCCTCAATTAGGTGACGAGAATCCCCAGTTTAGATATATGTACTAGGATAAATTTCCGATAAGTCTAATTTTTCTATACACTAATTGGAGTTTAATGATAAAATACTGTCCTTCACAAATATCAAAAATTAATTAGTGGCTGCCATTTTTTGTTTCATGTTGGTTGAAAGAGCACTTCAACACCAGTTTCATTTTACGACTAATGCTCTTCTCCCTGTTCTTTGCTCTGCATAAATTCGGCTTTCTGGATTTCCGGCTGATTTGGTGCCTAATGTACCTACGGATGATTATACCACTCAAGCCATAAATTTGTTGTATATGACGTTTCTCTTACTCCATGGTGCATATTTTTGATCTTGGTAGTTTGGATGTTCATTTCGACACAATTATTTCTTCTTTATTACTAATTAATTACAAGTGATGAATCTCGCATAAGCGACCGAAATTCTATTTTTTGCGTTTCAATTTCTTATTTTACGCTTCTTAGTCCATAACTCTACTGTATATTGCCCGCAGCTCGAGTTATACTTTTACAAATAGAGCAACTGTTACTGATCGCTCAATTTTTTGAACGTGTGTATCTGAGAATAGTGTGTTCAGTTTCTAGTACTTTGATTTATTCCTGATTATGAGATTCGTATTGAAATCCCAGATTTTTACGTTTTTGATGTCTTGACTACTTGATAGCCCTAGTATCTTGAAGAAGTATCTGTTTGATGGAATTATAGTATGCTCTTCTTTATTTGAGATTGCGTGTGAGTCAATGCGTAACGTTTCTTTGAGCAAAATAAAGTGTGCCGAAACTTTCATCTAAGAGCAATAATTGATGAAAACTCATGATATTGTGAATGAATGCATGAGAATATTTACGACTGATAATTCACTTAAAAGGAGGACAATAAAAGTATAGTCGCACGCGTGAACTTTCGACTCAAAATGAAACTCGCTGAGTATGAGGGCATTCAATACTAGGGTGCATGCTCTGAATTTGATATGTGATATCCATAGTCTCACACTATATGTGTAATTAAGTATTGGCCTAGTCATTAGAAAAGGACATTCAGGATACACCTAAGCGTTGCGCGCCAGTTTTGGAATGTGTTTCTTTTTCACTGCTTTCAAATGCTTCTTACATGAAAGTCGGCGTTGAGGCGAGAAAAGGTCAAGCGTTTAGAAAAATCTCCAGACTCATCAATACGACTGGACAACATGAATGCTGAAAATCAATGAGCAGTAAACTGACGCGAAGTTCTTTCGATTCGCGTATAGCGATTTTGTAGTGGCAAAAACTAAAAATACCTGACATTTTGTGTATGGTATGATCGAGCCGCGGTAAGGGATTTTTTTAAGATAAAATGTAGCCATAATAGCGTATTGCAATTTACTGTTACTGAAAATGGAGAAATCAGTACAGAATATTAGATGCCTCTTGTAAAAAGAAACTATAAAAAGTTGAGGGATTCCTCGTCTTGATAAAATCGCACTTGAAGGTTTTCATTAGGTTTTTTCAATTTCTATGGTTCAACGTATTACGAGTTTGGGTCTAAAATTCTAGGGACTTAGAGGCCTTGAAATACACCTTCCAGGGTTTAAGGAAATTTCTAGTTTATCTTAAATTCAAACTACGTTCCAAAAGGCATCATTCTATCAATCTAAAATGCATGTCGAAGGAAACCGATGTGAGTTCCTTTCTATACCTGAGAATAACTAGAATTAGTATCAATAAAATGCCAAAATACATCCAAATCGTCATTAACACAGAAGGATTTGGCGTAGAACCTCTTTTTCACGAGACTGCACTGGCGTAAATCACAAAATACAACCCCAGGTAGCAAAATCTTTGTTTCCTCTCCTTGTTGGAGTTCAAAAATGATATCGACTTTTTAGTTTTGTAACAGATCCCTCGATAGATTATTAATCTAGAACTTTTCCGCTTTTTGAGTATCCACAATGAGGCCGTATCCGATTAGTATCAAAAAACAAAGTATTTCGTTAAACATAAATCATGCTCTACAAATTCGTGAAGTTCTTTTTGGCATCTTTATATGATAATTTATGAAAGTCTTAAATTTAATATATGACTATCAACAAGGTTGCTGAGATCCGTTTTCGCTACTAAATTTGATTGGCCAAGCAACCTAAAAAACTTTCTCTTTAAAACTCTCTGTTTAACTGACAGTACCATTGATTTCTATTTCAGATAATTGTAATGCCCTAATCCCATTCTATGACACTATAAATCTTTCTTGAGATCCCCAGATAGAAACAACCAGATTAATTATTGAGCGGCAAAAAGTTACAGAGAGAATCATAAACTTCAGAAGATAAGAGTGCCCAACACAAGAAATTGAGCTTCAAATGTTTACCTGTAAGGGAAAGTAAACATTTAAAGATTACACATCCTTTTATCAGTCTATGATATTATTCATGATCATGTCTCCCTTATGGGCATGCATCGTTAATTTCTTTTCTTCTTTTTGTTTTCTGAGAGCATAATTTTCTCGTATTACCTTAATCCCTAAACGGGCAACTTTCGTCTAACCTTAATCTCAGGGTATCAGACTGTCTGTTTTCCGCTTTTTAGTAGTCACATTTTTTTTTCATTTTTGGATTTTTCAAGAAATGATAAATGCGCTCTCGTTCTAACATTGATTTGGAGACTATCTGTTTTTGAAAATAAATTCTAAATCTCCATGAGAAAATTTGACAATTTTTGTCAAAACTCTGCCAAAAGTGTGTCTTTCACAAACGCTTAGCTTTTGTTCGTATGACTGAATTTCTTAGCTTTCCAACTGTTTTCAATCATCTCTCACTCCTTTCAATATTTTCCATTTTTCTTTTTCATTCGTATCCTCTTTTCTTTCAATTGACAGAAAAACATCAATGAAGAAATCTACTTTCCGAAATCCTGACAAAAATTTCGGAAGTGTGAGCACACGAACGAAGAAAAAAAATGAGGTGTAAGCCTCACACTACTAGGTATCAACAAACACAGAGAGATCTAATCTAATCCATACTATATTATCACCATATATGTTACCCGAAAATTTAAACTTAAAACTTCTGAACAATAGCTAGCTCCTGCCAACTATAAATTAGAGGATGGTAGCTCCGCGGCAACGCCTGATCAGACAGCTGCAAAACCAAATCAACTGTTTATATCGTACTAATTTCAACTACTATTACGGTAATATTCATCAATAGGGTAAAATTTAACCTATCTCACTACGGTCTAAACCCAAATAATCTTCCCTGTCAGCGGGTTAACAGTCCAGCGCTTACTGAATTCTGCTTCGATATAATAGGAAGAGCTGAAATCGAAAAGTCAGAAAGAAATGTCGCCATGGATGCTTGACAACCACAGATTACTTATTCCTTTGGTAAGTGTTCTGACACCTCTAGCCTCAAATTCCGAGGGACCAAAGGATAGAAGCACTCTACTTTATCCATTGTCTATATATTCATTATATGAAAAAGGAAATGTTGAACCTTCAATTGTCTTGAGCGTTTCCGATAATGGCCAGATAACACTTCAAGAACCTATCGCCGGCTTATTTAAGATATATATTCTTTCTTTCGAGTAAATGGACACCTCGTATGCCATGGATTTCTCGAGCCATTTTTATTTTTAGAATAACTGGTATTTTTATTCAGTTTTATCTGCTAATAGCTCTGCTAAGGTGAAATGCAAACTCGATAGTACTGTATAATAAACAATTTCCCAACAGCTTTTTACCATAGAAGGCCCTTTCTCGGGGAGTTATTAGCGAAGATTAGAATCTAGGGACTATTGGTTTTAAGTTTAAGTTCCTCTTTTATTTCAGATATACAGTGCAATAAATACCTGGCCGCATAATGAAGAAGTGCTAGATAGTCTGAACGATTACATCAACAACAGTTTACGTACTTATCCGAGCCAGATCTGTGCAGTTGGATCAAAACATCATTGCAATATTACTAGAGCTTATCATGTAGAGTTATTCAATAGTGAATGCTCAAACATCGAATTACACTCTCATAATACATAACTTCTAACAGGTTCGGAGACAGAATTCAGACCTAATGATGGAGGAGTGCAATTTGTAGGTTTGGCATTTTATTTTTTCTCTGAACTTATTCTTGTCGAATACTTTTTAAGATCTTATACTAAATTGATTGCTTATCGACTTTGGGTTCTAATAAATAGCTAACAAATTGATTTATTACAGCTAAATCGAGAAACAATTCTAATCCTAAAATGTCAACAACCTTTTTATGATTTTCGTGATTAAAATCTCATGTACTACTTAAAAACTACAGATGACTTATTCTTTAAACGATTTGAGACTGATTTTTTCCATAGTGTGCACATTCTGCACTTCATCAATATGGCACGTTCAAGATTACCATCAGTGCAGATCAAAGCAAACGAATTTTTTTTCCAATTTATTCTGCTGAAGGGGCATGCAGAAAAAAATTTAAATCTTTGAATAGCAGACCCTGAAAATCGCTTCCTAAAATCTTTTCAAAACCAGCTGCTTTTCGCGAGTTCATCAGTCTCTTGACTCCAAATAAATTTCTCACTATAGCTTGTCTTAGTTTTATCATTCTTCGAGGAGGACATCGGAAATCCACATAGTGTCCACGCGGCTTTCGTATACTAAATATTTGGTAGTCATGAGATATAATCGGTCCCCGCTTTACGGTTAAAAAATATTTCATCACTATCGAATTGCACCCAATTGCCGAGACTGCTGCCAAGTCCACTACTGAGAATTTTTCTGTCCGAAGAGTAAATAGAGAAATATGGGCTGAATTATTTAATAGATGAGGAAAAGGTATCCACAAAAAACAAGATAGCCAATATTACCTAACTATTTTTCAATAATGGTGGATCTATCCATCTCCAGAAATGAATATTCTGATGATAAGAGCAGTACCTTCCAAGATGAGGTGGCTGGCATGGATCACGATGATGTTATCGTTAGTGGATTGAGCCGCATAGATGCTGTCAATGAGGTTCTGTCTAGTTACGGCTCATTTACAGCTTTTGGACTAGAGTTTAAGTGGCTGAAAATCTTGCTTTTATTGGCCTTGTTTTTACAGGGCTACTGTACTGGACTTGGTGGTCAGATTTCGCAATCAATCCAAATTTATGCTGCAAATGGTTTTGCCAAGCAGCCTCAAATTTCATCTATTAGTACCGTGGTTTCCATAGTGGCAGCTTCTCTTGCTGTTCCTTATGCACGCTTGTCGGATCGTTTCGGGCGTATAGAGTGTTGGATCCTTGCACTTGTCCTTTACACGGTTGGCGAGATTACTTGCGCCTCAACTCCAACTTTTGGTGGCCTTTTTGCGGGTGTGGTTATACAACAATTTGGTTATTCGGGGTTTCGTCTTCTTGCTACGGCACTAGCAGCTGATTTATCTGGACTAAGAGACCGTACATTTGCAATGAATATTTTCTTGATACCAGTGATCATCAATACTTGGGTCAGTGGAAACATCGTCAGTTCAGTGGCTGGTGATTCAACACCTTACAAATGGCGGTGGGGATACGGAATTTTTTGCATAATTGTGCCCTTTTCTACTTTTCTGTTGATTCTTCCCTATGCTTATGCGCAGTATCTAGCCGCGAGAGCGGGAAAGTTGCCGCCATTCAAGTTAAAGAAGAAAGATCAAGGGTGGATTCAAGCATTATGGAAACTTGCAGAACAGGTAAACCTAATTGGTATCATTTTATTCACCGCATTCCTAGTATTAGTGCTGTTACCTCTTACATTAGCAGGCGGTACTACGTCCAAATGGAAAGAAGGTTATATCATCGCCATGATTGTAGTTGGTGGTTGTCTGGGCCTCATATTTTTGGTGTGGGAATTAAGATTTGCCAAGAATCCATTCATACCACGAGCGTACTTGGGTGATCTTACAATTTACGTTGCGCTTCTCATGGAATTTATTTGGCGTCTAGGTTTACAAATTGAGTTAGAATATTTGATTACTGTTCTCATGGTTGCTTTTGGAGAGTCAAAATTGAGTGCACAACGTATAGCCCAATTGTACAACTTCTTGCAGTCCTGCACTAATGTTGTTGTAGGTATTACCTTACATTTCTATCCCCATCCTAAGCCCTTTGTAGTTGTTGGATCTTTTCTCGGGGTTTTAGGAATGGGTCTCCTGTACAAATATCGAGTGGCATATGATGGAATATCGGGTCTTATCGGTGCTGAAATTGTTATTGGTATAGCAGGTGGTATGGTACGATTCCCAATGTGGACGCTGGTGCACGCTTCGACAACTCACAGTGAGATGGCAACTGTTACTGGACTTCTTATGTCTGTATATCAGATTGGAGATGCTGTAGGTGCTTCAGTGGCAGGAGCAATCTGGACTCAACATTTGGCAAAGGAGCTAATTAAGCGACTTGGCGGACAGTTAGGTTTGGCCATTTACCAGGCTCCGCTAAACTACTTAAAGAAATATCCGATAGGCTCCGAAATTCGTGATCAGATTCTAGAATCATATTCGAAAGTTCAACGCTTGCTGATAATAGTGTCAATTTCGTTTGCTGCATTAAATGCTATTTTAAGTTTACTCTTGCGTGGATTTACAGTGGGAAAGAATCAGAGCTTCAGCCAAGAAAGAAGAGAGCAAGAGAAAGTTGAAATAAGAAAGCAATGGTGGCTTCGCCGAGCAATTGGTTATTGATGCAAAGAGAACGATCAAAAAACTGTGCTTTCATTAACCAATTAGCATTGATCAGCAAAGCACGTGCTCAAAGTAAAGCTTCAAAATTTTTATGTCCTATTATATAATTTTGGAGTTTCAAACCTAATTAAAAAGAGCTTGCCAATTGAAAAGCATTAAAAGCACCGAAAGTTCCCAAGTGTGGTAGTAATGCTGTAAATACTTTTCGAGCGTCCAACTCTAAGTTAAACTGTGAATGGTATGGTTCTAGGAGTGATAGGCCAAAAAATGGAAAGCTGTTTCCGCTTACTATAATATGAGGATACCAGTGATCTATCGATCGTTCCCCGGGTGATGAGAAATGAGCTATTTTGCAATACATTTAGAACACTGAATGTGAAGGCCTAATGCTCCCGCTACGTATGTAGCACTCTATCGTGGTTTGAAAACGCTCCGTGAAGAGATGTTTGGGTGAAATTGACACCGTCTGAAGGCCAACGGGAAGGGAGGTGAAGAAACCAACATGCTGGTCACATTCACCAGAGCTACTCGATCACTAGAATTCATATATGAAAAAGCTCTTATCAAAGTCTTTATTTAATATAAAATAATGTGAGCGTCTTGGTAGAGAATTTGGCAGTTTGAAAAAAAAGTTCATGGTAGCAAGATATTACATTGGTCTATCAAGCGTAAAGAAATCATGCCAACATGTAGGCTATTATGATGAGAATTCTACTTGATTCATTAAATCTTACGCCATTGCAAGAATGTAAAATCCACCTCGCAGTTTTGAGAGGAAGAAAAATCAGCTGGAATTTCAGATATTATTTTGCTTACAGCACGAATGAAATGCTCCCTTTCAAATCTTGCATCTTCATGTAGGGAATAGTTTTAATAAGTAACTAAAAGCAAGGTAATTAGATTTCCTTGTGTTTTGTTCAACAGGTGCTTTCAAATACGACAATTCTCACTTAACAACATCAGGCTAAGTACCGAATTTGAACGCCGAATGATGCCTTTGATAGAGGTTAGATTTTTATGATACGCCAAAATACGTCTTAAGAACATATTTGCTATATTCAATACTTGTAGCCATGTGCATCATTCCAAAAATGACAAAGTTTATCTTATACTTGTATAGAAAGCATGTGAGCAAAAAATATTTAATAGAAATGAGATGCAAAGAGTAAGGTCACTTGCCCTGCAAGTGGTGCAGTTGTTCCCCTCAGTTGGTTATTTGCTGAGATATTTCGATCAAATGTGGAATAGGGACTCAAAATAAGCCGAGAGCTCTTCAATACGAAGCGCTTAAGCTACCATCGTAAGACAAATTACCACAGTTCAATTCAGTTTTTAAACGTGTTATCTATCTAAATATATGAACTTCGTTATACTGCCAATTTAGAAGAACTGACTTCCTTTAGCACTTCATAATCTTCCATATGACTGGAAACATCAAGCTTTCCTAGCGGGTATTTGTGCTTTTTATGATCATAAAAAGTTCTTCATACCAATTTAGGAATCTAAAGCATCAATAGGCGCAATAATACCCGAATAAAATCAAGAAAAGACAGACCTGAAAGAAGCTATTTGATCTTTTGGAGATCATGTTTAAACTATTGTAAATTCCTATTTAATAAGACGTTTAATCAGCCTTCTGTTGAAATAAACGAACTTAGACGTTACTGTAATATAAACGCTCGATAAAGGATTTTTGATTTAGTGGCTTATCTGGAGAATCTGATACTTCCGGGGCTTTGCGGAGCTAAAATATATTCACTTGCATTATTCGGTAATTTCAGTGTCAAATTTCTAAAGATTGAATCTTTCTTAGAGACCCTGCTAGGTCTTCAATCAGATCTTCAATATTTTCGAGCCCTACTGAAATTCGAATCAAAGTCTGGTCAGCTAGGGGATCACTTAGTGCTCTCCACTCAATTAGGGATTCAGCACCGCCTAGAGAAGTTGCATGCTGAAATATGCGGACCATATGGACAAGTTGTTTGCATTGCTTTTCTCGCTTAAGTACAATCGAAAAAAGGGGTCCGTAACCATGAGGCAATTGCTTTCTCACAAAATCTTCTTTTTGTAAACTAGCGTGATGTACTTTGTCAAGAACTGAGTTAAAATCTGATTTGTGCTCATAAATGTATTTAACAAGTTGCTCGCAATTAAAAGATTGCTTCTTTACTCTGACTTCCAAAGTTCTAAGGGATCTTAACAACAAAAAGCTTTCTAAACTTGCAGGAATGGTACCCAGAGCGATACGCTCCTCACGCATTTCTTGCGCTGAAATTTCATTTTTTAAACATACAACACCACTAAGAAGATCCGAATGGCCTCCCAAGTATTTTGTGCCGGAATGCATAACTATGTCGGCTCCAAACTTCCATGGGTCCCGCAACGGTGGTGGTGCAAGTGTTGAATCAACTAACATCTGCCCACCTCTTTCATGTGTTATTTCTGAAAGATTGGACAGATCCACACACTCTCCGTACGGGTTAATAGGGTCCTCGATGTGTACCAGATCCCCAGCTTCACAAAAATTGTTTATGGACTCAAGCAGATGTATCTCTGCCCCACTCATTTTTGCGTAAAGATCCGCAGCTAACTTGCAGCCATGGTAGCAGTGCCCCATAAATATCCTTCTGGGTCTGTAGTGCGCTAAAATTGCAAAATATGCAGAAAGCCCTGAAGAATAGACAACAGTTGGCCCACCAAGTATCGATTTTAACACAGCCTCCAAGCGCTCTGCGTTGGGATGGCTTAGTCTTGAGTAAATGAGAGGCTTTTTGTCGTCAACTGAATTTGCCAGATCCACTGCCTTCACTAGATTTTCGTTATCGTACCGAAAAGTGGTCGACACATTAATAGGGGTAACAACATCGGGAACTCTATTCAAAAAGTCATCCCCGTGTATGCAGATAGTTGACAAGTTATGGGATATCCCGTCCTCTGGATTGATAGTTGTATTTGTCATGCTGTTTCAGCTACATAAGCAGATTGATATTGTAAGCTACCCCGGCGGTCGGCCTTTTTTAGGTGTTTTCCGCAGGATCTCTCGTTTGTCTCCTGATTTTGAAGCTGTGGGCCGAGTATGCACAGTCGCTATCGTAGTTGTTTTTCACAACCGATGGTTTTATATTTATCTACGAAGACACAGCATCAGCATACCTATGTGACAATTACATTGCTAAGGGAGGTGTAAATCCCTAAGTTTTTCAAACAAAATTCTTAGTACCACTGAGAGAAGCCACAGCGAGTATGAAAATGAATATTGACTAATTGTTGCACACCTTCAATCAATGCTCAGAAACCTTGCTTTACCTAGACGAAGATTTCGCCCTTAGCTTGACCCGGAGCGGTGGATTATTTATTTCCCTACCATGACACAACGAGAAGAAACGTCTTAAGGTAGCTTTTTTAAAGCCAGTACTTCAAAGATTAGTGATTCAATTGCAGGGGAAAAACAATTAAATCTTGCCATCGAAAACTCATTTCTGTGAGGCTGTGCATAAATCACCGGATGATTGCACAACTACCACATCATTTCGGCCGTATGTTTTTCGTCAAGTCACATGCTGATACTAGCGGTGTCACTGAATTCTGCATTTTTTCGTGCTCCAAGTGGATCAAATCCCGGCCCGGTGTAGTCGGACTTTTCGAGCACATCGAAGCAAGTTTGCAATCCTGGACATGTTAGGTTCAGGATATTTGGTGATCGCGATTTTTTAGGCCACAAACTCCAGGCGTGAAATACCTAGCTTGGGATTGATTTAGAGAAGGTGCGCAGAGTAAAATAAAGGAACTACGCACTTTACTGAATTAAGTTTCTAAAATTTGTTTCTTATGGGTTCCTAGTTGGAGAGGTTCTCTATAGCTAGTGATGCCGTAAAGCGCAGCTTGTATTAAAAAGACTTCACGGTCACAAGCCATTGACCACAAAATTGTATTGTGAGTAAAAGCGATCAAGTATTTGGTCTGTGAAGTGAATTCCTAAATAGTAATGCCAAAAAACTTCTAAAATAAGCTGGAGTACGCATTCTAGACTGGACAAAAGTGGTCGTTTACATTTACTAACCGCTGAAGATGACTATAGAAACTTTTTTTTATGAGGCCCCATATCGAGTACATTAAGTATTCAACAAAAGAAATTGAATCTAATCTTCATTTAGCAGCACAACAAAAAAGGAAATTAAAGGGAACAGTATTTTGAAGATTCCATTCAGATCACATGCCGCAAAAGGAGATACTTGAGGCTTCTCGTTAGATCGCAAGACGTCATAGAGGAATATGCAAGGCTTTCCTGCAAAAAGATAAGTCCTGTAAGTTTTGAAGCAAATACTTCCACCGAACTACGGAAAGTCAAGGCGGATATTCGCCAACAGCATTTTGTTTCAGGCTTTCTACAGACCAAGTAAATAGACTTATAATAGAAATAAGACACTTGTTCTATAATATTGAAAGATTTAATTTTGACCATTCAAAGATCCAACACCAAATATCACATCTTTGACCAGATAGAGGCAGGATAATAAACCATCTGAGATTTTTTGAATTGTTACTCATTTTATCCCTTTTCTAGATTGAACTGGACGCCATCAAAACCTCTCAAATAAGCCCATATGACCTGAACAACTTGATAGTAAGTACCGTTCTATAATAGGTATTCTTGAGGCGCACAATTGATTTGATTTAAATCCTTTAATTAGGAAATCTCGCTTCTTTTCAAGAACGAGAAGAAATGTTAGGCTTAAATACATATGCTATGAAAGATATGTTGTATAGAGGGGAAAGGAATGGTTTTTTTAGCTAAAGCGCGTATTTTGGCTCATTTTACAATTACGTATCTTTATTTATAAGCCTTTGCCCGCATGAAGTGACCCCTAAGTGAGTTTTCAACCCGCCTCATGTTTGTTCCTCCGAATAAATGTTTCATGCATTAGTTGAATACTTTGTTTCAAAATATGCAAGGTCCAGCTAATTGACGTCATATAATTCAATATACCATTTTAATATCTTTATTGAATTTTATAACTCTTTTGTTCAAGTTTATGCTAATTTGCATTACGACAAGGAGATCGACTGTTGAACATTTAAAGCTTTCGAGCGCTACAAATCCTTACCGGCTTATATGAAAAGACTTTGAAAACCCAAAATCGGCGTAGCAACAGCATTTCTTTTTCGATAGTAAAATTGATCAGTATTTCATTAAATACATGACTTTATCAATCTTACTAAAGTTTCTATGCCGATTCAGAGAGGTTAGCATCATATATCGCCTGATGAGGATGTACCAATTACGGAAAGCAATCAAGCAGATATTATTTAAATTCATATAAAAACTGCCAACAGTCCCAACAGTGATCTCTTGTCGGTTTCAGTGGCAATATCGACCCACGTACCTTGATGCAACATTAAATGATCAACCACGTGGCATTTTAAAGGGGTTTTTCTTTAAGAGTAACGCAGAATTTATTTGAAGGATGAGCATCTTGAATCCTTCTTTCATAGTAACTTCATTGAGCTTGAATAGTTTAGATCGATTAATCCACAATTTTGAATGCCTCAAAACATTAACAAGTTTGTACCTTCGGTCAATTATTTATATCTGCTACATTTTATGAATCCTTCTAAAAAAAAATGAATGACGCGTTAGGATGATTATCTGGTATCTGAAAATACAAAATAATAGGATGAATGAAATTGATATTGATTCAAGTCTGATCAAGGAATGTTCCGGGATTATATCAAGAACAAATCAGCTCGAAGTTAGCTGCGTAAATAAAGTAGTCTTGACTATTAAGGAGCGGGCTCCATTCATCAGAGGATACGATGCCCTCCCTCACGCTACAGGAATAAATTTGTTGCAAATTTCAGAAAATCAGATTCCTAGAGATTGTCTTTACAACAGAAAATAGTTGATTTCTATTAAGAACCATTGAAGTTTGACATAATACAAATCCAAAACATAAGAAATCTGTACTATTTAGGTATCTCAATTCCGATATGTCACATTTGAATTATAGAAAAAGGCACTTTCTGTAATTGGCGGTAGTGGGAATTCTGGTGTCAGTCTTCAGTTACACGTATACAAAAACACGAATAGGTTTCAACTCATCGTGTAAGACCGAAAGCAAATTAAATTCAAGAGGACCAAGACTTCACATTATGCTTGCCAGTTTAAGAACCCGAAGTCCTTGTAATTTAAATACATTTCTTTGAAAGCTTGCCCAGTCACCCAATTTTCAACCAGAGGAGCTAAAATTCTGATCGTCGAAATCGAATAGACTGGGTGGAGCTCATACCAAACGGAAGCCAAAAAATCTAGGGTAGTGTCTGACTTCGAGAAGCACTCGAGATTTCGAATGTCACTTTCCCTGGGCGACCATTCACTAGAACTTATTTAATCTTTAATGTTAACCTCCCCGGCTGGTGATCTACTGGTATCATCTGTTTTTTTAGTTTAAGCAAAATCATCGACTTTCCTACCAAGGATGGCTTCACTAGTACTCAATTGTCTATTATTGTACATCAGACTTTTGAATTGAATAAAATTTACATTAAGTGCCCAATCCAATATTTCCACACAGCTGTGTCTCTAGTTGGGTAGTTTCACTTTGACGTCGCTTACAGGAATATTCTTCGATAACATCATAGCTTCAAAACAGGCACGCCCCAGAATTGAAGAAAAACTCACTCGTTGTAGTAACCGCGTTCAAATCCAGGACCCATCGTCTGTACAATTTAACGATTTGGACAGCTTACTAACCACACCGCATATTAAAGACAAGTGGTAAAAGGGATTGTTCTTGGAATTTTTTATCAACGATGATACATAATTGATTACAGTGCTGAATAACGCTCTCATACTTTTGATGCTTTGAAATTGATTATCCTTTTTAATGACACTCGATAAGTGATCAGTGGAATAATGCGGTATTTTTTCCTAACACGTGCTTATCTGTTAGAAACAGTTAACTTTTTGATTCTTCTGTGATAACTTTGAATTTGTAACAGCAGAATCTCCATTAAAGAATGGGAAGTAAAGGTTCTAATAAATTCATACTGTATCAAAACTTTGATTTTTTTGTGAAGGAGCTTCATTTGTGGGAATAAGTGCGTAGAAAAGAGCTAACGCACAGTTTAAAATAACATCTGATCACACAAGACGAGGAGACTTTTAAGGATTTCTCCAGACAAAAATGGGCCTCCACCAACGACGAAATTATCGTTAAGTATCACCTATGGATTCTGCCAATCCTAAAGTGTACACTTGCAAAAGCTGAACCTCAGAAACAAATCCTGGATTAATGAAACAGTATAAGGAGGATTCAGGAATTCAGGAAATTGTGTTAGAAGAGCCTATAGGAGACGTAGCTTTCTCCCATGCGTATTATATATGCTCTTCTTAGATCATTTGGAAGTATACATGCGTGAGAATAATACACTAAAGCTATTAAGCGTGCTATGAGATCCCAAATATAATTATTTATTAGTTGCTCGGTTGAGAAGCTTAAGTTCGTGCGGTCCATCACGAGCGTACGCGACGTGTTTTCCTCTAATTTCTTAATTAATAGAATATTGTGCTCCTAATGTGCTCCGAGCTACCAAGAAATTGCTTTATGATAGTACTACAGGTCTAGCGCACTTCCAGTATTCATAACCCTCGATACATTCATCATGTCATTGAAAACCGGGGGAAAGAAACAAAACGTTAGGCAATAAAGGCCGCACTCTGAGTGACAAGACAAAAAGAGTGGTACTTATAAACTCCTGGAACGCCTCCGCTAGAAGACGAACATTACATCTTTCCTCTGAAAAGATTTTAAATATTATTGATTTTGTTCACATTTCCCATTTACATCTGGATGATTTCGAAAGATTTGAGTTTGAATTCAATGGCATGCAATTCAGAAAAACCAAGCAATAGTCAAAATTTGGAGCTTTTCTGTCTATCTTTCCATGACAGGGTTGATG